TTTTTTTTTTTTTTAAGCGCAGTTGAGATCATGAATGTCTATACCTAGTATTTTGCCCTCCTGGGAGCAGGGAACATGTGTTATGCCACTGCCTGGGTGCTGTGTGTATTGCTTATGCAGAGCAAGCTTTCAATGAGCATCTTAATGAATAAGAAAATGCTTCTTTTTTTTTATCATATCATAAATTCTCTTCCATGCTCCTAAAAATGTTATAAACACTCTTAGATTTCTGCCTACTCAGATCACCATTATATTCCTTGCATTGGGAGCAGTGTCTGTTGAATGAATAACCGTTATCCTATTGCTGAATGTTTATTAAGCATTTGAAAATATACTCAGCCTCTTCAGTGTGAGGGAATTTAAGGCAATAGTAAAAAACCTGTAACATAGGCAAACGTTAGAAGTCAGCTAACAAGTTGTGTGCATGTTGGTGTGGTGGATGTGTCATCTGCTGCAGATGGGAGTGTAAAATGGTACCAACACTTTGGAGGAGTAACTGTCACTCCCCAGTCAGGTTGAAGGTGGACATAACTGAGGACCCAGCTGCTGCTCTGCTGGGTGTGTAGGCTAGAGCAGGGATTGACAGACTTCTTTGTAAAGGGCCGGGGAGTAAATACTGTAGTCTCTGTGGACTGTGTGGTTTCCGTTGTACCTACAGCCATGCACCGCATAACGGCCTTTCGGTCAACAACGGACCCCGTATACGATGGTGGTCCCCTAGGATTAGTACCATACAGCCTGGTGTGTAGCGGGCTGTACCATCTAGGTTTGTGTCAGTACGCTCCATGATGTTCTCACAACCGTGAAATCGCCTAAGGATGCATTGTCGGGACGTGGCCTGTCATTGAGGACACAGGACTAGTCAACCCTGCTGTTGCAGCATGGAAGCAGTCCGGGACAACACACAACGCATGGGCATGGCTGAGTTCCCAGAAAACGTTATTTACAGAAACGGGAAGTGGACCAGATTTGGCCCGGAGGCCATAGTTTGCCACCCCTTGGTCTAGAGAGACAGACCCTGCACTTGAGTTAGAAGACATGTACGGATGGTCGTTGCAGC